CCCCAAAACCCCAAAACCCCAAAACCCCAAAACCCCAAAACCCCAAAACCCCGATTTATAGTTAAAAATTGAACTTTCTAAATTATTCTAGTTTGTCTTCATTATTAGGCTCATTTTGGTTGATATTGGCTGGATCAGTCTCTGAGAACATTTGTAAGGTCTTTTGTTGAGGAGTTTCGATGCCGTCGAGCTTGATATCAGGGTCAGCCATAGGGGAAGGAGGAATCATAGCCTGTGCTAAATCATGAGGAGCTGGGGTAGGGGCAGGAGCTGTAGTGCTGGTTGGTGGTCTCAGGTTAAGCTCCTCTTGAGCTTTCTTATTGTTATTCTGTGCTTCTTTCAATTCCTCCTTTGGGATAATGTCTTGTAAAAAGTCATAAATGTCAGTAGAAGCAATTGTTTGAGCAATATCTGATCTCTGGAGAGTTTTTCTTTTGTTTTCTACAGTGTGGAAGTAAGATCTGTGAGTGAGTTCTATTATGAACATCTCGCAAGCCTTAGCAAAGAGTACAGGGGCTTCAGCAGAAATCATTTTGACATCTTCATCTGCTTTCATGATCTTCTTTACTCTTGCAAGAGGTAATTTTTGAAATTTGAAAGTTTCTGGGGCTATAAGATTGATAAGAATGTTTAGTACTAAAAACACGTATTATTTTTAAACTTCAAAATTCTTGGAAGGAGTTATGATAAATATGACTGGTTAAGATGTTTATTTCATAACTACAGATACAACAACCATATTAGTATCCATCAAATTAGGCGATCCATGCTTCATTAAATTCTGCTAAGAAGCTTACTCTTGTCTAAAGTTTCAATCTTCTCCTGAATATCAACAAAAATAGTATCGAGTTGGTTCAAATGTTCTTGGTATAGCATGTTATTGCTCTATAGATTTGTTAGTCCATGATTTCACCTACAAAGCTATTATTTGGAGCAGGGTTGGACATTTCTATTTAATTTATGATAAAATATAACCTTCCTCCCCAATATAAGCCAATGAATAAGGGGTTTTGGGGTTTTGGGGTTTTGGGGTTTTGGGG